GAAACTGACACAATATTTATATCATTGAATGGCTAATAAAGTACTAAAACTCACCTTATTTACGTATTGATTAAAGATGTTCAATTCCATGAAAAATAGAAAAAAAGATACAGTTTGAGCTAAACTGTAAAGAAAAGGAACTACTTAGTTTTCTAGGTAATGAGGACTTGGCAATATTTTCTCAAAATGTAACAAACTATTTCTGCCTGAACTGCAACTTTGCTTGTTATTTACATTGGAATTTTTAAAAAGGACAAAAAACATTATTGCTTTGACATTCGATATATAATCTAGCCTAGACCAAATCACAATCAGACTTTTGTTCCATGACCCAGGAACAGGAGAGGAGTTTTTCATCACTTTTCGCCACCTGAAGTTAATATGAAATGCCTGACTTGAGAGCCACCCAGATAATTGTCCCTTACTGACAGCTTCCATCACTGTCTAACCAGTATTTAGCTGTGCATTCATTAGAGACTGGCTGGAGGACCTTGTAAAGGACTATAAAACTGTATTCTGCTAGTTTCTTAGATCCCTGTTTAAAATGCACAGAAATTGGGGCAGCAGAATTTGAAATAGTGTTGTAGATACTATTGCATTCTTCAAGTATCAAAGTAACATTTGATGGCTGGGTTTTTATTTTGAAACTTCGTGGTACTGGGGATTGAACCTAGGACCTCATGAACGATTTCCATATTGAAATCTCAAACCCACAGAATATTAAAGTCTTTAAATTGTCAGTGTTGTTCTACACTCTATTTTCCATAGATATAACCATCTCTAACAGTGATGTCCACTCTAAGATTTGAGTGTAATAAATCTTGAAATTTTATCTAGACATACCCTAAGATTCCCTAAATAGTATATAAGGTGTTTATGATGTTACAAAGAGATAGGACTTCATGGGACCATATTATGTCTGAACCTCATTTTTGGCCAAAGTAGAACTCTGTGGCACAAGACTATCTGGCATACCGCTTACTAACTGCTTTCATGGTAAACCCAGATAAAGACCAAACTGTGATTCTCACCCTATTCAAAGTAAGGTTACAGCTTTTATTGCTTTGTGTTCTAGTCTAAGACACAGGAGGAAATAGTTACATGTATGTGTGTATATAGATTGGATGGAGTCTTTGACTTATTTTTTATTATACCCAAATTTGTCCAGTAGATAAAATAAACATATGCTGTTCATAAAAAAAAAATTCAATCTCACACATATTCCCCAAAACTTCTGCTTGAATAAATTAGCAAACTCATTAATCTCCTTAGTAGTGTAGCACATTTCCTCATGGACTAGACTTTCTAACTTTCTGTCTAGGGGCTTGCTTCACCTTGATTTTGGTTATAGGTCTAGTGGAAACTATTGGTGGGTCTTGAAGAACATCAGTATTGTCTTGCCTGGCATTTTCTTCAGAGAAAGTCATTGCTGGTTTATCAAACAATGAAGGATTAATTTCCTCAGGTGAAAAGGGCAATATTTCAAGGGGTGGGGCGGCAGATACTACTTCCTCAGGTGAGGTGAGATTCCCCTTGAGAATCTGAGGATTTTAAGTTCTTAGCTTTAATAGGGTCTTCCCACACATTCCCACCCCAAGTTATAGGATTCTATTCTTTGCCACTTAATGCCCTTACTTTAACTGCTGACACTGTCTGGGGCTGAAACATGAATTTTCGCTGTAACTCAGCCAACCTTCTAATGAGTACTTCGGTTTGATTTTTCTGCAACTGGAGCTCTATGGCTGCTGGAGAGAAGATTCTCTTCATGGGCACACTTAGAAACACTTAGATTGAATTTTTTTCATCTGGAGCTGGTCAATTTTATCATGCAGCTCATTCCTTTCTATTGTCAATTTATCCAGAGATGCTAAGAGCAATGAGCCAGCAAAATAATTTTCCTTATTTTCTCCCAAGCTGTAGAAATTTTCATATACTATGTCACCTAATTCACTGACAGTCACAATTGATGGATCAAGATAATGAAAGGCATTTACTTCTTTAAGTTTAAAATATAGTTTCCACCATGGCCTTCAATAATCTCCAAGCTCCCTGAGTGTCTGGAGAGGTTTCGGTTGTTGAAGGTACTGATGAATTAGAAGGTGCTGGCAAATTTTTAGACAATTCCAGATTAAAAGATTCATCCTTATACTTCTGCTCCTCTAGAACCACTCCCAGTACCAACTTCTATGTTGGTCAGAGTTCTCTAGAGTTACAGTATGGAATGTCTCTATATATTAAGGGAAATTATTGGAATGACTTACAGTCAGTAGTCCAACTAACCCAAAAATAGGCATCTGTGAATGAGAAGTCCAAGAATGAATGGGAAGTCCAAGAATCTAGTAGTTACTCAGTCCCTTGAGGCTGGGTGTTTCAGCTGGTCTTCTGTATAAACTGGAATCCTGAAGAAGTAAGTTCCAACAGATGTGCTGACAAGTAAGTGCAAGCAGATGAGGAAGAACAAACACTTCTTTTTTCCATTGTCCTTATGTAGGCCCCCAGCAGAAGGTATGGCCCAGATTAAAGGTATGTACCACCAGGCCTGGATTTGGAACTTGCTCTGTCCCAGGCTGGCCTCAGAGATCTGTTTGCCACTGTCTCCTAGGATTAAAGGCATGTACTATCTTGCCTGAGCCTAAGCTTTTCATGGGCATGATGCCTCAAGATCTGGATCACAGATGTACCCTCCATTTCTGAATTGTAGTTCATTCCAGATGTAGTCAAGTTGACAACCAGGAATAGCCATTACAGAGAGGAATATGGTGGTTTGAATGTGCTTGGCTCATGGGAAGTAGCACTATTAGGAGGTGTGGCCTTGTTGGAGTAGGTGTAGCCTTGATGAAGGAAGTGTGTGTCTGTGGGGGTGGGCTTTGAGGCCCTATGCTCAAGTTCTACCGAGTGTAAAAGAGAGTCTCCTTCTGGCTGCCTTTGGATCAAAATGTAAAACTCTGAGCTCCTCTTCCAGCACCAGGCCTACTTGCCTGCTGTCATGCTTCCTGCCATGATGATGATGGACTGAACCTCTGAAACTGTAAGTCAGCTCCAATTAAATGTTGTCCTTTATAAGAGTTGCCTTGGTCATGGTGTCTCTTTATAGCAATGATACCCTAAGTAAGACGATGAGCTTACCCATGAACCTAGTATTCCTGTACTCTGGCTACTTAGCTATATAATTAAAGCACTGGAAGCCCAGACCATCAATACTTATACTTGGTGAGGGGATGGGCGTAATTGGCCATGAGTCAAGATTCATGGCTGGAGAGCTGTAAGAGGAGAATCAAACTTTGAGAATCTAGAACAGCTATGACCAGAGATCTACACTTCTTTCTAGTCAGAAATGTGCCTCTCTAGTAGGTTCAACTCAGGTTCTCTGGGTTCAAGGGTATATTAATATTTTCAAGTATTTTCAAACTGTTCACAGAGATAGACTCTTTATCTCATTCATGTCTCTAGCAAACTGTTAAGCTTTCTTTCAGAGGACCCCGTGCCCTCTTTCGGCTTCCACAGGTACTACATTTATGTGGTACTTCAAATATATGCATGCAAAACACTCATACATATAAAATCCTTCAAAAAAAAGTTGTTGAGGTTGTTTAAAAGAGGAAGGAACATAACTTTTATTTATCATTTAATTCATATGTTAGTATGATACTTGTCTATGCATATGTGTATAGACATGAATGCTTACATGGAGACTAGAGGAATATAGTGAGTGTTCTGCTTTATTCCTTTGAGACAGAGTCTCTCACTGAACTGTGTTGCTGTGCCTGGCTTTTCTTTCCCTGCTTTTACAAAAGAGTATTTAAAAAAATTGTGTATGAGTATTTGTCTATGTGAGTGCATGCTCACTCTATGTAGTGAGCAGAAGAGGGTGTTGGATTATCTGAGACTGGAGTTACAGGTGGTTGTAAGCTGCCTGATGTGGGTTCTAGAAACTGAACTCGAGGACCTCTTTTATTTTTTCCTTCATTTCTCTCTCTCTCTCTCTCTCTCTCTCTCTCTCTCTCTCTCCTCTTCTTCTTTCTTTCTTTCTTTCTTTCTTTCTTTCTTTCTTTCTTTCTTTCTTTCTTTCTAGTATAGGAGATTGTATCCAAAATCAGATCTTTCTTTATGATTGAGTAGCAAGCACTCTTACTCACTAAGTTCTCTCTCTAGCCCCAAGAAGTACCTCTTGACCTCATATATAGTGAGGATTATTTTTTTATTATGGAGAGAGAGGGGTGGGTACAGACCCCAGGAAATTACAATTGGTGCCCAAGTCCCCAAAACACATCCACATGAACCATTAAACAGTATGTCACATCCCCAGCTGAGTGACTGAGAAAGCGTCAAAATCACCCAAGAATAAGTGTCAGGGGATGAGGAATTAGGTTTCCATTGCTCTTCAGAGAAGGTTCTATGCCTTAACTAACCTCTCCAGTGATCTTGTATCAGAATACTGTGGAAAAGACTCCATACCAACAAATCACCCTGGATAGATCTGCAGATACAGGGTCCTTAAGAAGTAACAATCCATCGAGGGCAAACAGAAAACAGTTTCTCATGGGGCATGGTAAGACTTCATTTTGGGGTGAGGTTAGGTGACAGAAAGAAGAGTAACTACAGAAAGGGTAGAGAGTTTGGAACATATGTTTTTTTAACTTTAAAAAGTTCTGTAAAGAGTATTTCCTTTCTGAATAGAGGCTAAAACTGTGTCCTCCTCTCTGGAGCAAGTCCGAATCCCACCCCTCTGAATCACATCACTATCTTGAGGAAGTCCCACCACTCAGGGTCTCAGGGCATGTCCTAGGGGCTGTACCTTCTGGACTCTAACTTCAATGTGACCCTATGGACGAATAGCCAGCCTGACACTTGTATTCTGAGGGGCGTACTGTGGCTAGAAGTCATCTCATAAAATGTTCCTGGGCCACCTGACTGGAGGATGCTCATCAGCCCGTGCGTTGGACGAAGGGCTACAACCGTCGTTCGCGATGTCACCAGACCCTGACAGGGCTGCCACCTACCTCTGTCACGATGGTGGACAGGAAGATGTCCTTGTTGTACTCCCAGCCATCCAGGCAGTTCTCCTGCTCCAGCTGCTCCAGGTCCACATCCCGTCCTGGCTCCAGCCCCAGCGCAGAGAAGTTGGCGATGGTGGCCAGTCGGTAGCGGCGGCACTTCTGGAGCACCTGTTCTTCGTTCTTCTTCTCCAACGGGATACTGTGGTTGCGCCACGCGCTGCTCAGATTCACGGTGTCAGGTACCAGGCAACGGTGCTCCGGGGTCGCCGTCAGGAACACGCCAGACAACCCAGTAAAGCCATTGGGGATGAAGCTGGCGCTGAGCAGGAAGAAGATGAGGCGCTGGAAGGGCCCCCACTCGCCCAGGAAGGCGGTCACCTCGTCGTAGTCCGGCATATAGTCGGCAGCCCACGGGGTCCCGCCGGGAATCCGAGGACACTTAGGCGCAGTGGGCGGCGCACGGTTTGTGTGTGTGCGTGCGCGCGGAGCACCAGTCACTCGTCAAAGAGGAGTGCGAGAAAGCGTCAGGAGACGTTTTCCACACCGACAAGCTCGTGAGTTCCTCCCTCCGCCTCAGACCCCGTCAGCGCCAAAGACACCCAGAGCGTGAGGCCATGATGGACTCCGTGTCCGGCCTAGACTGCAAGGCCCGCCGTGCTGCCCTGAGGGGAAACTTGGAGCGGACGGGGCAGGAGCCTGCGTGATCCGAGGTGGGCACTGGACGCGCGTGTACGTGAGGCGGACCTGGTCCCCGACTCCGAACTGGCTGGACGGTGCGGAAGCCGGAAGGAGCCTGGCTTCAGAATTGCGTGGGCGTGAGGGAGGCTTGGCGTCCCTTGCCCACTACTCGAGCTGTTCGCTGAGGAAAGCCCTGAGGTGAAGTCTCTCCTTTTTCAGCCCAGAGAGTAAGCAAGTCGGACTGGGGGCGGGGCCTCCGTAGTCTCCGCCCCGAAGAAGCTGCTACTAGGGGAGGGACGTATCTTCTCAAGCCACACCCCCGAGCAAGTCGCCAGAGTTCCTTTCAGGAAGTGGTGACCAAGCTGGGTGTTGACTTGCAGAAAGGTTTAGGATTTCAGTATGAAATACCCTCTCAACTTTTTGTTATGGGTCAGAAAGGGATTGTATCCCGCCAGAAATCTGCTCCTTTCAGAGGACCTGAGTTTAATTCCAAGCACACATTGGCGGCTTACAACCTTCTGGAACTTCAGTTCCAGGGGAACTAATGCCCTTTTCTGGTCTCCCGGACACCAGGCATACATTTAGTGCACAGACATACATGCAGGCAAAACGCCCACTCACATAAAGTAAAATCATAATAATCATTAAAAGACTGAGACAAAATTTGAAACCGTGGTCATGAGGCTGTGGGCAATGAATTTTAATTCCCAGGTTCTGTTCTGTGCTTTATGTTCTTAAAGATTAAGAAATCATGCCGGGCGGTGGTGGCGCACGCCTTTAATCCCAGCACTCGGGAGGCAGAGGCAGGCGGTTTTCTGTTCGAGGCTAGCCTGGTCTACAGAGTGAGTTCCAGGACAGCCAGCGCTACACAGAGAAACCCTGTCTCGAAAAAAAACCAAAGAAAAAAAAGACTAAGAAATCATTCTATCGTTCATCAAATTGATGTAAGCAAATACAAAAATTTAACTTCAAGATTAAGGATCTTAGTCTAGGATTACACCCTCCTCGGATTAGTTACTTTTACAGTTAATTCAAGAGCTGACTGATGATCTACATAGTTCCAGGCTAGCCAGGGCTACACAGTGAAACCTTGTCTCAAAACAAACACACAACCTTACAATGATACCCATTATTTTGTGCAAATATTATTTTCTAAAATTAAAAAAAGATAAGGTATAAAAAATAGCAACTGTGTGATTCTAAAGTAATATTGTCAAATGAAGTGAGAAGTTACATTTATGATTTTATTTATTTTTTGAGGTGGGTCCTACTATATTTCCTTGGCTTTATCTTCTACTTTGATCACAAATGACCACCTCCTCATCCTCTCCAGTAGCAGAGACAACAGGTATATATAGCAGATGCACATTATTATTAAATTGTCTCGATAGCAGTTGTATTAGTAACTTTTCTTGTTACAGTGACAAAAGCAACTTAAGGGAGAAAGGGTTTGTTTGGGCTCAGTAGTCAGAAGGTGGAGTCAGTCACTCTGAGAAGGCTTGGTGGCAGGAGTCCGCTTGTCATAGCCTATCCTCAGACAGGAAGCCAGGAGTGATAAATGCTGGAGCTCAGCTTGCTTTCTCCTCTTTATTCAGTCCTGGACCCCAGTCCATGGAGCTGATGCTGCCCACTGTTAGGGTTACTCTTCCTACTTCAACTGACCCAATCTAGAAACTTCCTCACAGATGCCTAGAGGTTTCTCTCTTAGGTGATTCTAGACCCTGTCAGGTTGACAACAATAATTGTCACAGCCTTATTAAAAAAAAGTCCAGATTTAGTAAACAGAAACTTTACGTGGTCAGATTCAAATTTTGCATAAAGAACTAACAATTTGAAGTATAGTTACATATTGACAACTGCAGGGACATGTGAGATTGAGATGTAAGTGGCTGTCCTGTGTTCTCCCTGGCAGTGCTTCTAAGCCTTTAGAGCTGGGGTGTGGCCTCACATGCACCAGGCCCTGGATTGGATCCCAGCCCTGTAAGAGAAGCGTTTCTTTAAAAGTATGGAATTAACTGTAGCAATATGTTATTGCTTTATTATAAGATTGGCATGGAAAGTATTGAAATGCATTGATTCTTATTAAAAATCAATAATCCCTATCTTTCATACTAAGTCCTGGGACTTCACTGTGTATTTTACAGGACATCAGTTGAATCTAGTGAAGTACACATTTAAATACTCAGTAGCTACTTCTTGTTAGTGCCTACCTTATTGGATGGTATTAGTTTAAAGCATTTAAAGATTTGGATTGTTACTAATAATTTGAACATTACATGATGTTCTTATCTTATGAAAGTCCATTTCAGTGCTTTTTTTGTTGTTTTCTTCTGTAGGGGTTTTCTTTCTTTTTCTCTTTCTTTTACTCTCCTTCCTCCCTTCCTTCCTTCCTTCCTTCCTTCCTTCCTTCCTTCCTTCCTTCCTCCCTTCTTGTGGTTTTCAGGCTTTAACCCAGGGGGTATGCATGCTAGTTTGCTTTAAAAAATCAAAATAATAGTTATGATTATATTTAATAAAGGCTATATATTCAGCCTCCTTAGGTTTTTGATATCACATCCTTATTCTCCGTCATCACCTTGCTAACTGAGCCATCTCCCCAGATCTGGAAAGAGTTCTTTGCCTGTTGGTGTTATGATCATGTGACACAGTGTGACGACACTGTGTTCAGCAGGGTCTGCAGATCATCAGTGGACTAACAGCGCATCTACTTGATGTGACCCTCTGACTCTAGCACAGGGTGGCAACTACCCATCAAAGACTCAGGACCTGTAGTCCAGATGATCATTTGGCTACAGACCCATGTGAGTTCAACTAAAAAACTACTCTCAGTTTGAATGTGCTGGATCATCTCTACATTTACACACACACACACACACACACCACATGCACACATACACACACAAGCACTGTTACCATCTAATAGTTGTGATAATGTGACTTTTATTTGGATAGCATTTATACTTTTGGAGATGTGTTAGTCTTCATACGGATTTTGCCAGTCCTTAACTAACACATTTTCAAAAAAATCTTACAAATCTATTTCATTGAATAGTTAGTAGTCAAGACTTTAGAAATGTTTGTTCTTAAAAACAGGACCATCTGGAAGAATGGCCCAGAATTCAGGAGATATTGTGTACTTCTCCACGAGTCCAGTTTAGTGCTCATTGTTTCTATCAGCCCCTTTCAGCAGAAGGGCTTTTGCTTTGTTTTGTTTTGTTGAGACAGGGTTGCTTGTGGAAGCTGGCTGGTCTTACACTCCTGATGTAGCCAAGGAGGACCTTGAACTCTCGATCTCCCATCTCCTCCCCAAGAGTGCTGGGTTCAGGCTTGCTCCATTACACCCTGCTCATTTACACATCTGTTTTTCAGTTTGCCAAGTGCCTTGGAAACCTTGTTAGAATGCAGTTACTAGAACCTTGGGGTTTTCTTCTCTGTCCATCGAGACTGTAGATTTTTTCCCACATCTGAACCTGAAAATAAAACAACTGCTGAAGAAAATTAAGCAGTTGGAACTCCCCTCCCTCAGACACCAAACTGACATCCGAAAACACATCCCCACTCAACCAATGAAAAACATGTGAATTCTAATTAATCTCATGGGTGCAGACCTTGTGTTTTATGATTTCATGAGACTAATCAAGCTACTCTCTTGATTAAACACAAAGCTTGAATTTAAGCTCTTCAGTTTCCCTGAAGAAAGACTAGAGGGAGGGATAGCAGGAAGGTCATGACCATATGAGGCAATAGAGAAGAATTTTAATGATTACATAGACTCTTTTGTTGTTGCTGTTGTTGTTTTTTGTTTTTCAAGACAGGGATTCTCTGTGTAGCCTTCGTTGTCCTGGAACTCATTCTGTAGACCAGGTTGGCCTGGAAATCAGAGATTTGCTTGCCTCTGCCTCCTAATTGCTGGGATTAAAGGTTTGTGCCACCACAACTCAGTGATTAAAAGAATTCTTGTCAGATACAAGCACCTGTAAAATTCTGTGACAGATCAATATCTACACACACAGACTTAGCTTTATTATGGCCAGCCGCAGCTAACACTTTATCTAACAGAACCCCCAGACAGCCATGTGAAAGATTCCTATTTAATAAATGGGAAAACTGAGGGTTGATGAAACTTAGTAATTTCCCCAACTTTATGATATAAATTTGAAATTTGAAGCCAAGCCAGTGCAGCTCAGAATCTCAGTTTCTCTGTCATGCCACTGAGCTTTTAAACCTGTCAGACTGGGCTGTCATAGAAGGATGTTTGGTCTTTGCCTCTGAGTCCTGGTACAGAGCTCCTAATTCTCTTGTGGTTTCCTGGGTGATAGAGGGCAACATGTTGATTTTGGTTCTCTGAGGTGGCTCTTAGCTAGCTCAAGCATGGGGACTGGTTGCCAGAAGGAAGATCTAGGAGCACAGAGCTTTTTGGCTCTGCTCTCCCAACTTCTGCAAGGAACAGGATGAGGATAGAGTTAAGGACCAATTAAGCCCACAGGATGGAGAATCTGCAAACACTGTGGTTTGAATCTTTTGACTCACTGACATCTCACTGTCAGGAGAGTAGTACACCCCAACCCCCAGGAGCAGATGCCGCACACTCAGGGTCCTTCCAGCACACACCTGTCCATATCCTCCCTAAGGCAGTGCTGAGAGCAAGGAAGTGTTTTCCTAGGGTCTGGGAGGCTTTCTAGCAAATGACTGAACACCTGAATGGGAGCTGTGGGGACCCCAGACTTTGTAGCTAGGTGAGTGAGAGTGACTTGTGACTGGAAGGTATGGGAGTGGGC